GGAAATTTGATTTCGTTTTTCATCTGTGCAAAGGGAGGCCAGTCTAAATCTAAATCCCTGTGAATTTTCGAAATCAGATCCAATCAAGGGGATGCAGTGGATATAAGATGAAAAGGCTTAATTAACTCTGCATATCATGGAAAGAAGAACAAATCGTCATCCACACAAATTTATTACCCCTTTTGTTTTGACACTTGCCAAATCTAACCTGCTTTGTTTTGATTGATCTTGCAGTAATAACCCTTCCATATAGGTGCCCAGTGATTTACGCTTTTTTTTTTTGAAAAATTCCTACTGCTGCCTACCTAATAATTATCTGCCCAACTCAGCACAGCAAGCAGCCGACTTTGACTTCAACGGCACAAGACACCGACGCTGACCACATAGCTCTCGACTTTGACAGTTGACTTGACTCAGAAAACTTTTACTAAAAAATATCTCCCTATGATTGGATGACCATGACGAACAGCAAGGGCCCTACAGACGGAGATGGAATGGAACCAACCATTCAGGTTGGCAAACAGGTTCAGAAGATGGATGAAATGGAACGGAGCCAACCATTTAGGCCAGATCCAAGCATACCATATGATTTTATTCTTCAGGAGTAACATACATATGTTACACGTTTTGTTTCAAGGTCTCGTGCACAGCCCTTTATTTTACTTTTATACGACGGCTACAATTGGTACTGTCAGGGACACTCACTGATTGCTCGTTTCATGGAGCACGCACGTGTTTACACAGCAGAGGAAAAAGAGGGATGCTGCTAATAGTAATTAGAAGAGAACTAGAGCCAAACTATTTCCAGTTAAGAGCTGCTTGCTACCGACACGTCGATCCGAGCACAGCAGCGCTTCGGAGATGCGTAGAGTCTAGTTTCATTTCATCAGTAGGTGTTCCCGGCTCCATGGCGAGCCGGTCGCACCCCCGGCGCTTCCGGTGTGAGGCGTTCTGCAATTTACGGCGAATAATTCGTTAGGCTCTTCCAATCTAATCCAAGCGAATTTGTTTGCGCACTACTGTAAGGTGAATGAAAGGAAAATGAAAATTAGAAAGTTGTGGCACAAAAGTCTGGACGATCTAGGCTAACCTCTTATTGCTCAGTGTACTGTTCCAGGTACTCTTTAATCATCAGCCTTTCCTCTTTTGTTAGATCGGGGTCTGGCCCAGTCAATCGCTCCCTCATCGCCTTCTCTTCATCGCTCGTGCCGTCCCTGGCAACCTGCAGACAAGATTTGTAAGCTATATATGCTGGGATATGCAAGACGTCTGTCTGCAGGTTACTTTCAGGGAAATTTATCAATCTCACTTGGATGTAGTTATTCACATGGCCGTCCGCATTGGGTTTGGTCTTCATCTCATGCTCATTGCACACCCAATTGCCATCCACTACATATTTGTACTCATACCGTCCTTCCTTCAGGAAACACAGACACCAAAGGTGTGTAAGATACAGGTGAGTGTGAAGTTACGCACAATTAGGTCGAGATCCTCTGCAGTACTGCAGATGACATGTGGGGTCGGGTCCACACGGCAGCGACCGTACTGCACGGTGCGTTACTAAAGAGGATCCCAACAAGATAGTGACATAATGACTGCCACCGGTATACTTGGATTGATAAGATGACCAAAACTATGCTTCTAATTAATGCTCTCTGGTGGCAAACTATCAGCATATTCAGAAGTCAGAACCTTTGAATTCTATGAACGCTGTTGAAATGTAGGATTTATGAAGGATTAGGCTTGATATCACACGCTGATGGTATACAGATGTAACATACAAGGCATGTGAGGAATATAACAAATTAACAATGAACAACGAAAAATAAAGGCGGCCTTGCTCTCAGTATGATAGTTGTTAGGTTGATACTCACAGGTAACTCTCTCTCAAGAAACCATGCTTTTTTCTCCTCATCATATGCCAGGGGAATTTTCTGCATTAATACAAGAAATATAAGATATAGAAAGAAATCAGTTAAGAGTTCTCCTATGTAACATGGATTTAATACAAACATTCCATACTAGAAAGCAGCTGGGCAGAATCTAACTGAAATTCTTCAACACAAGAAATGTACTACGTCTAGATACATCCATTTCTGCGACAAGTAATTCCGAACGGAGGGAGTATATGACATAATTGAAGAACAAACATACCTGTCCCCACCCAATGTCAAGCCCAGAAATTTCAACAGAAGAACAACTGCCATTTTTCCACTTCAAAGTGATGCAGTTTTTTGACAAGCCCGTGAGCTAAAGAATAAGACAGTCATGACTTATTAGCAAGACGAGATGCATGACACACAACTATATCGGAAATCTACTTTATCTTCTCCATCATAACTGCAAAGTGGGAATACAAAGTAGATCTTACTTACAATGTCAGCTGTTGCCAATTTGATGGCTTCCAACTTCGGAAAGCTAGGCCTTTTACTCTACAACATAAAGAATGGATTCAAATTCTGTACAAAAAACATGCAAGATAACTAGCCATGTGGTAAAAATTAACTTAGAATACAGTGAAGAGAGATTAGCAAACAAGCATCTGGTTGGTATGTATTGGCATCAACAGTGCTCACATATTAACTTACAAAAGAGGTTTTCAACCTCCTAATACTACCTGTAGTAGTTGATGTCCTTCGTTAAGATTGTAACCAAGAATCCAGAACATATATGCCAGCTGAAATTTTGCAAAATATTCTCAGAATTAGAGAACTGTCAGGGCACCAGATCATGGATAACATCAAATCATAGTGGAAAGTTACCAAAGCACTCTGCAAACTGTATATTTTACTGACTCCAAATAAGATGATTATGTTATTGGTGGATGGTACTACAAATATTTGGTACTACAAGGAAATGCTTGCATATATGCAGGTCGTTATGTTGCTTTATTTTCTGTGGGTGGTGGCTGGGGGATAAAATTAGCAGAAACGAGAAGAGTCACGACCATGTAACCCAATTGGCACATCCGAACATATTTGAGAAACGATAAGAGAAAGACTGTAAACCTACTGCCACAGCAGGAGCTCTTCCAAGTCCAGCAGTACAATGTATATATGTTACTCCACCATTGTGGCTGGCAAGCTTGTACAATTTGCTAATCACAGCAGGAAGCCTCAGTCGCAAATCGAAAGCATCAAAATCCCTGGTGTAATTAAATATTAAATTAATTTAATACTTTGGATATGCGCAACACAGACAATGAAAAGAACACACTGGATGCAAGGAAGAACTACATTGCTATATACATACTGCTTGGTGCAAATACAAATCATCTACATGTTCTCCCGACTGTACTGAAAAACGACTGTACTGAAATATAATATCATGCATGTACAAGGTCAACAGGACCAGAGAGAATAGAGACAATAAGTTGCTAACTATATCGTAATCTCTTTGAAACTAGAGGACAGCTGAATTTGATCAATTCCAAAGCCAGATGAACAATGGCATATTCTCCAATTTAACTACGTCACCTCGGAACAAAGAATTGCATAACTCCATTTGGCATAGGTTATGCCAAATTCTTAAGTCCAGTTTAAAATGGACTCATGAAGATTAGAACTTTTAATACCTAACTTCTTCACGACAGTGCTCAATGTCTTTGCATTCTAGACAATAGTCTTGAATGGCACCGATGTCAACTCCAAAATATCTAAATAAAGTGGTGAAGGATGAAACACATTTATTCATAGTAAGAAAGCATTGCATAGCAGTGGAAGTAACAAATAACTACGGAGTATGTCGCTAGGATAAAAACTAGATCATGTTAAAAGATGTTTACACACTGCACAGATAAAATGTCTGCAAACAAAAATGCATGAGTGGATAGAAAGCTAAGCCGAATTCGACAATGTTTCAACATGAGCATTACGATCTTACAGATATGCAAGTTTGGATCTAGCTTAATAAGCAGTAGTAAATATATTTCTTCATTTCTACCAGAAAGATGAAAATACGCTTGAATGAAAAGGATACTCAAGGTCTGGATCTTGCTGCAAGCAGAATACAGTTTTTACACCAATCTCCCGAAGCTTATCAACATCACTTGGGCTCTGCACATGAAACCAGATAATTAGATGGAGTCACAGCTGTAAAGTTTCTATCTGAATGGTTGAGATGAGAACCTGTAAGCAGGAGCCTACAATCAAGTCTGGGCATATAAAATTGTAATTCATTCCAAGCTCATGCCTGTACGTCAACACTAGAAATGTTTTTTTTTGAATAAAAGGAAATATTTTAGGAATAGTGTAGTAAACAGAACTTAATGAGAAAGGAGCATAAGTTATTGCAGAAATTCGTGCTTAATTGGTGATTTGAAGATAAGCAAATTTTGACTAATCAGTATCAAAGATTTCTACATGATAAGATTCTGTACAATGTAATGAACAAAGTTAAACAGAACAACATGATAGCAGCGAACGAGGAAACTTTGAGTCGAGGAACGATACTACATATAGCATTATGGACAAGGCCAGCTGTTGAAACACTCAGTCTCCAAGAAGGGGAGGTTAGATATGCCAAAAAAAGTCAGATGAATGAGCTGTCGCTAAAGCCTAAAAGTCTACTGTACAAAGTTTAATGGAGAAGAACACCATAAAACGATCACACCAGGATAGAGTTTAGTTTTGACTATTTAGTGCTCCCTCCGTTCCAAAATAGATGACTCAACTTTGTACTAACTAACGGAGGGAGTATAAGATATTGCAGGAATCCGCGCTTAATTGGTGATCTAAAGTAAGCAAATATTGACTAATTAGTATCAGAGCTTTCTATATGGTAAGATTCTGTACAACGTAATGAACAGAATTAAACAGAACAGCATGATAGCAGCAAACGAGGAAATTTTGAGTCGAGGAACAATACTAGATATTATAGCATAATGGACAAGGCCAGCTGTTGAAACACTCTTTTTTTTAGAAAAGGAGGATTACCCCGGGCCTCTGATGTTGAAGCACTCATGGTCTCGAAGAAGGGAAGGTTAGACATGCTAAAAAGTCAGATGAATGAGCTGTCGCTAAAGCCTAAAAGTCTATAAAGGCTAGTAATGGAGAAGAAGGTGATAAAATGCCCATACTAGGATAGAGAATAATAGTTTGTGCTGAATGGTTCCAATCAGGTAATATAATATAGCTATATGAATGGGGCGTTTTCTCATTTTTCCAGCTACAAGGGATTCATTAAGTCAAGCAAGTAGCCAGTCCACCTCACCCCAGCATGACTGAAATGCAACTAGTACCATTGTCTAACCTTGCCACTGATATTGAATCAGACAGACAAGTACAAGGAAAAAACTGTGAATCGGTCATGGAAGTTGAATTTTTCTCTTCACGTACCTGCTCCCATGGCCTGTGTCATGTTGGTGCTATACGTATCGGACTTGTCGGCGCCGGGCTCCAACGCGCTGTTCTCCGCGCTGGAAGTGGATGTCCCGGACGCCTGAAATCGCAAGCCCACAAGCGTTAAGACGGTTAGTTGATTCTGTAGCCCCTCGCCCTGAAACAGAAGTGAAGTCGCAGAGGATGCTGAAATGCTTACAGTTTTGACGGTGTTGGAGCGGCGACTCCCTCCGCGAACCATGGCCTGGGCGGACCAAAAGCAGCGGGTCAGATTCGAGGCTCGATTCCGTGGCCGGCGAAATGGAAATGGAAATGGAAATGGAAATCGAAATCGAAATAAATGGATGCATGGAATCGGCGGGGGTGACTCACGAGGTTGAGCGGCGAGGGCCGCCTCATCGATCTGGATCCCGCTAAGATCGGAGGCTCCCTGGGGGCGGCAAAAATCAGCCAAGCTGCGGGGGCGAGAGGCAGCGAAACATGATTCCGGGGAGAAATCGAAAGGGCCGGGCCGCGCCTGACTTACTTGAGCAGGTGCTGGAGGCAGTTCATGGCGGCGGAGACGGCGACGGCGACGGCGAGGCGGACAGGGGAGGAGAAATATCTCCCGGCGGAGGAGGGGGAAGAAGGGGACGGGAGGAGCACGGGCGCTTGCTCTGCTCGCTGGCCTCGCCTGCGTGGACGCGGCGTATCGACCCTCCTGACAGTCTGTGTGGTGTGCGGGCGGAGTGCGCGCGGGGTTTATAGGCTTGGTCCACGGAGACTCTGCGGGATGAGGATAGAGAGAGACAGGGACCACGGTGGCCTGTGGCTAAATCGGGCGGGGCGGGGCCCACTTTTAGTCTCATTTGACCCGTTCCTCGCCGTCGCGACCGGACGTCGTCGTCGGGGCGTACGGCGCCACCGGACGACGGGACAGCTGCCAGGCTGGGGGCGCCTGGGGTCATGCATTCCCCGGCTATCTTCTTCTTTTATTTTCCGGATTTGCTAATTATACTATTAATTCACATCCATAGGTGAGAATTGTTGTTAATTAACAAAAGTCTCGTTTATTTCCTACATCATTTCTGGTTAACCAAATAATTAAAAAAATCTACGTGGATATATAGTGTAGAATCAAATGGTGTAAGACTTGTATCTGACTTGGTTAATTCTCGTCTCCAGCCATATCCTTTATTTACTACTCCCTCCGTTCCATAATATAAAAGCGCTTTTTACACTGGCCTGCTTTTTATATTTTCCATGAGTCCCGAAGGTTTATCGTGCCTTTGCCTTGTACTACCAGATATATCGAACTCATGACTTCATAGTAACTACTACTCTCTCTGTAAACTAATATAAGAGCGTTTAGAATACTAAAGTAGTGATCTAAACGCTTTTATATTAGTTTACAGAGGGAGTATTAGAAATTGCAATGCTTTTTCAACAGCATGCTAACGAACATCTCCCAGATTTGGAGCAAGTCTGATTTCGTTTGTTCACATCAAAGGAGATGCCATGACACATAGCACCAACTAAATACATGCGCAAGTCAATGAGCTGAAAAAATAAGTCTCTATGAATGTATAATTTACCTTTTACCATCAGGTTGAGCTCATTGGTGAACTGTTAGGTACATACACTTGCAACCAACACGTTCAAGGTTTAAAACCCAGTAAATGCAATATATTATTGTGGCTTGACCTCGTTTCCGCTGCCAAGTCATAAACTAACTAGCTGGTGTGTGCAGTTCTACATGGTATCGGAGCTAAGAGGTGTTGAGTTAAAAATCCGGCTGAGGCAGTTAAATTGTAATCCACTTTCGGTCCACATTTAAGGCTGAAGGGGCCTTTTGGATGGACTGGCTGGTGTGTTTAGTTCTACAATTCCAATTGATCATGTGTTGCTCCTTTGTTTTGTCAGGACGATATTTCAATTTTTTCTCATCGCTTGATCTAGGTTGCCACATATGGCTTTGCACTGCCCAGATCCATTATATATCCCTTCGAATAGCTCTTTTTTGCAAAGAAAAAGAAGAAATCCAAACTTATTACAAAAGTTCACCAGAAATACAAAAGCACCTTCAAAATAATAAGAATTACACCAAGGTCTCTAGACCACTAAATGACCACTAGCACCGTCACAATGACTCACTGTTGTCGCCCGCTTACTAGAGCCAGCTTATCCCCAAAAAAGTAAAAAAAAAAGTCCCATAACCGACGTGGCACTAACAAATCTATACCTAATACTCCCTCCGTTTCTTTATATAAGGTGTATTTGTTTTTTGATAAAATTTCATAATGTAAGACACATTTGTTCTAATTTCTCGTAATTCCAATCTTGGCCCTCCAGAAAAAGGAAAGTATTTCTCACCTGATTGCATGTATCTCTCCTTGTAGAGAAAGAAAATGAAACTATTTCTCTCCCGATTGTGTGTATCTCTTTCTTTCCTGGCCTAAATGATTTAGTTACCGCTAATCTACAAATTAGAAAAGGATAATTTTGTCCTATCTAGTGGATAATTATGTGCCTTGGTCACCATGCTAAAAATAATACAACTTAGATAAAGGAATTGAGAGAGTAATAAAGAGATGATTGTTTCCGCTCGTCCGTCGTTTTTTTCTACAGAAAATTCCCTGATGTTTAAGTAAGTCTTTCGCTTTTGCAAAGAACCCCTGCTTTTTCGGTAAACAACCCATAATCCAGATCTAAGTGAGGTCATGAAAACGTTTTGCTTTTGTAGAGAATCTTCTGTTGTTTCTGATAATCAACCCGTAATCTATATCAAATGCTTTAAAAAATATCAATATCTTTTAAATCGGAACTTTAATTTTAACATGTTACATATGGAATTTGATTGAAAAAATGTATAAATCTAAATATGATGTCATTTTACCTTTTAACATTTTAAAAATGCTATTTAGGATGCAATCTTAAATAATAGCACACGGTCCCTTTTTTTTCATGCCATTGCCGATTCAGATTGAGAATGAACCGTGCATCCACGCATCAGCAAAACCTCGCAAGGAAAAATAGCGCATGGACGCTTGTGATTGTGTGAGCATTGAGACCACCGTCGATAAGGGTAAGAAGGAGGATAAGCAGCATCAAAGATGGGATGTCATGTTTAAACAAAGGATGTGTACCTATTGGGTCTTGAGTGATGATTATTACTGGGTTAGGAGGTGTGGTATTTTTTTTTCCTTTTGCAACTTACGGTCTCTTTTTTTTCTTTTTTTTGAGGGAAGGCTATCATGGCTAGCTTTATTAAAACTTAAATAATGTTTATATCGTCTACGAGCTTACTGACAATAAAGTCAGGGGGCTCGTCCAACCAACTAAATGAAGTCTTATTACAGTAACTGAAATGAGCTAGCACATGAGCCGCTTGATTACAGGATCTATAACAATGCTTATAAAGGACCTTCCCAATTGAAATACTAGTGTCCACACATTCTGCGAATATAGCCACCGCCGAGTCCCACCATATTGTTTGTCCATCACAATAATTGATTACTTGCAAAGAATCTGATTCAGCTTCTACCCGGTTACACCCAAAGGAGTTAGCAAAAATCAGCCCGTCTCGCATGGCCAACCCTTCTGTTGTTATTGCATCCACCGCGATAGGTATAAACTTGCATTGGGCTCCCAAAAAATTACCTTTGTCTTCACGCAGGATAGCCGCCGTAGCACCTACCCCTTCGTCTGAATAGTACGTCGCATCAACATTTAACTTAATGAACTGAGGGTCCGGCTTACACCACTTTGCTTCAGGGGAATTTCTCACCAACGATGTAGCCCTATGATGGTTGCTTGAGATTGATAACACAGAGAGTGCCCACCTCCAAGGGGGAGGAATAGATTCACTGTGCGTCACTTTTCTACGGATCCACCAAAGGTACCATCCCCCAACAGCTATTACTTGTTTGAAGTTAAGTATTGGGTGCATCTCAAGCTGCTGGTCCGGCAATGATAAGATAAATTCCAAGATCGCAGACCCCGATCTATCAACCTGGATCGCTTGGTCGATGATATTTGTGATGCCGAGCTTCGTCCACAAGTGTCATGCATTCGTGCACAAAAACAATAAATGACGGATATCCTCGGCCCCTTGATGACAGATAGGACAAGCACCATTGGAACCAATGTGCCTGTTAGTAAGTATAGCTCTTAGTGGGATAACTCCTCGCAGTGCTCGCCAACAAAAAATCTGTACTTTACGTGGAATTTGAAGTTTCCAGAGATTATTCCACACCGCCCGGGGGGTAGAGCCACCAGGGTGTCCCATCGTATTTGCATGCGCCCGAAAACTATGCATCCACTGCATATGATATGCACTTTTTACTGAGAAAATACCTGTCCTATTCGGGTGCCATGTCACAAAGTCATCAAAACCATGCAAGTGTAGTGGAATCTGAATAATTCTGCGGGCATCCACTGGATTGAATAAACTTGTTATTAGCACCTCATCCCACGTACTATTAGCCGTATCGATTAATTCACAAACTTTGGTTAGGATCGTTTACCCCCTTGGTGATATCACCATTCTATCCGGACTAGAGGGAATCCATGGATCCGTCCATATATTAACATGTTCACCAGTCCCAATCCTCCAAATGTATCCTTTCTTGAAAGTTTCCAACCCCTTCAAGATACTTTGCCATGTGAAAGACGACCCATTTTTTGGTGTAGCATCAATAAGGGAACTATTTGGGTAATATTTTGCCTTGAGAACTCTCGCAGCCAAAGAATGCGGGTCATTGATCAACCTCCAACATTGCTTGGACAACATTGCCAAGTTAAAAGAGTAGAGGTCACGGAACCCCATGCCTCCTTCACTCTTAGGGATACACAACTTCCACCATGCCATCCAGTGCATTTTTTTGGTCTCCTTATCATCACCCCACCAGAATTGTGCAACAGCATCTGTGATCTCTTTACAAATTCCCTTCGGTAAGCTGAAAACAGACATAGCAAAAACAGGAATAGCTTGGGCCACAACTTTTAATAAGATCTCCTTCCCTCCTGTAGATAATATTTTTTCCATCCATCCCAATAATCTGATTTTAATTTTCTCTACAAAATGTCTGAAGCAGTCACTTCTATCAGCTCCCACTAGAGCTGGGAGGCCTAGGTATTTATCAGATAATGCTTCTGTATCAATGTGCAAAATTTCACAAATCTCTGCTTTTGACACTACACTTGTATCTAGACTCAAGAAAATACTTGACTTAGCCAAACTCACCATTTGTCCTGAACTCTGGCAATAGGTATCTAGCGTCTGCTATAAGGAAATTGCATTTAACACATCTGCTTTCATGAGAATTAGAGAATCATCAGCAAAAAAAGGTGTGAAACTGACGGTGCATTTTTACACACTCTAATCCCATCCATGCCACCAACTTCTTCTTCATACTGCAGCATACTAGAAAGTCCTTCTGCACAAATAAGGAACAAATATGGGGAGAGAGAGTCCCCCTGTCTAATACCCCTCGTCGGAGTGAAATTTTTTTGTTTCATGAGAATTAAATCTAACCTTGTATCTCACAGAGCTAACACAAGACATAAGTATA